CTTCTAATAATAAAATAATATTTATCCAGCAATTAAAGGCATTAATAAAATCTATTCCATCATGTGACAGCGTAATTGTGATCGGTGACACCAACATAAACACCTTAAATGACACCTCGAACCCCGCCGTAACAAGGTACAAAAACGCCCTGTGTGAATGCGGCCTGCTGTGTGCAATACCGAGCGAAGAGATAACGCGCGAGGCGATCGATCGTGGACGGCCGGCTCGAGACTTCGTGCTTGGATCACATCTGGGTGCGAGCGAGACGGAGCGAGTGCGACGCGAGCGCGTACGTCCTTGAGGCGCGCATTGCGGATCATCACGCAGTGGGTGTATCGATGAACTTATGTGTGAGTGGTAACCAAAATCAGTGTGTGAGTGCCAATAGCAAAAGTAATAATAGTGTGCGCGAAGTGATTTGTGACAAAACTGTGAGACAAAAACTGAGTGAATATGACTGGCAGCAGCTACTTAATATATCATGTCCGATAGTATTGTATAAGACTATGTGTAGTGTATTTGAACAGATTTATAGGGAAAGTACAATTAAGGTTAAAGTAGGTAATAAGAAAACAATAAGACAGCCATGGGTAAATAGAGAATTGTATACAATGTTATTGCGCAAAGATAGTTTATTTAAAATATGGAAAGCGGATCCTCAGAATATGAATAAGCGACTAGATTACACAAAATTTAGGAATAGAGTAAATAAACAAATTAATGATGCAAAGAATAAATATAGACAGGAACAAATTACAAAATGTAAGGGAGATTTTAGGAAAATATGGGCGAATATAAATACATGGTTAGGTCGAAATAAAAATAGCTTAGATGAGGTTATATTAAATCATTTGGGAAGGACAGATAGTATACAACATATTTGCACACAGTTTTCTAAAACATTTACGGAAGAAATAAAAGCAATTAAACATAACTGTAACTCAAAATTCTTAGACAGAAATACATATGTACAACCGAGTGAGGTGAGTTACAGATATAAAAAAGTCACTCCGAGAGATGTAGAAAAGGTCATAGAGAATTTGTCTTCTGAAATAGCACCCGGTCCAGACACAATTAGAGCGCAGGATATTATATGTATAAAAAAGCGAATAAGTCCGGTTATAGCTTTATTTATAAACAAAACACTAACTACTGGCACCTATCCTGACATGTTAAAAAATGCAATTATCCGTCCTATTTACAAATCAGGTAGTCATCTTGAATATGTAAACTACAGACCTATTGCAATACTGTCTGTTATTGATAAAATCACAGAAAAAATTATTGTAGGTCAGATTAGCGGGTTCTTAGAACAACATAAAATAATATGTGACACACAACATGGTTTCCGCAGAGGACGAAACACTGTTTCTGCTTTGTTAGGCTTTTCAGATTACATAAATAAGTCGCTAGACTCTGGGAAACAGGTTATAGCTCTTTTTATCGATTACAAAAAGGCATTTGACACATTAGACCATGACATATTACTACAGGCAATGGATGATTGTGGAATACGCGGGCCCACAAATGAATGGTTTAAAGACTATCTAACCAATAGGAAAATAAGTACAATGATAGCTGGTAAGACAGGGAAAGAGGCGGATGTCGACTTAGGTGTGCCGACTGGATCTGTATTCGGGCCAGTAGGATATATAATGCATGTGAATAGTGTGTCAAATGTCATCGAAAAATGTAAGGTGTTCATGTACGCTGATGATATGTGCCTTATTTATGCATCCAAAAATATATTGGAAGCCCAAAAATTTATACAGGAGGATTTTGAAAATATTAGCAAATGGGCACACGATAACGGAATTATCTTGAACACAACAAAAACAAAAGTTATGCATATACACTCCCCGTACAATCATATTACTAAATCAGTAGATAAGGAACATATCACAGTAATAGGACACACATATGAATGTCTACATAGAAATAAACATAACTGCAGTTGCAATAAATTAGACTATGTACACAAATTCAAATACCTAGGCCTAACAATAGATACAAATTTCAACTGGAAATTGCATGTTAACGACATTTGTAATAGACTAAGATCTGTATTAAGTAAGTTGTATCAATTAAAAAATGTACTGAACAAAAAGACTCTCAGATTAGTTTACTTTGCACTTGCAGACTCGCTAATAAGTTATGGACTACTTGTGTATGGTCGAACATTCATATCATATATAAAAGATATTAAAGACATACAAATAAGACTGATAAAGTTCCTAGTAAGTAAAAATGTTAAAGATAGTTGCAAGAAAGAGTATGATAAGTTATTTCCTATTTGTAAAATTATACCCATAGATAAAAAAGTAGATTATTTAGTTGGTTTGCAATATTATTATAGTGACGAGTTTAAAATTAATGTAAAGAACAAGTACAACACACGTAGGGTTAGAGAGAATAAACTAATATTACCAGAAATAAAAAACTATTATGGCAAAAGAACATCTGAATACTTAGTTCCTAATGTATTTAATAGAATAGATTTACTGAGAGAAGAAGGAAAAAAGTTTACGAAAGGATCTCTAAAGTTAAAATTAAAAAGATTTATATTAGAGTATTAATAAGAAATAACATTGTTATGTTTTGTTTGTTTTTTATTATTATTTTCATAAAGATTGTTTTATATTAGGTATATAAACTATGTCGAAGTAAGTAATAAGGGATATTATATGTGATGGGATATTTAAATGCTAAAGAAAAAACTATGTAAGAATTACTAAATTCACTGTTTTGTATTAAACTGTACAAAGAGCGCCTCTCGCCATCAAACGTTACAGTTTGGCGAGTTTAGTTTTTAAGGACACAATTTGTAATAAGTTCACTGAATAAATTATTTAAAAAAAAAAAAAAAAAAAAAATAAGAGATTTCGATTTTTTTATAAGGGCTGGCGCTATCTCGCTTACAACAAACTATAATACGGCCTACGATGAAGTATACCTATGAGCAACCTATTCACTTGGGCGTTGGAGACACGAGGTCTTCGGGAACCACAAATTATGGCAAAGAATTGGGTATCATATAGGTATATAAGTGATAAGTATAATAGTAATAAGTTTATAGTGAGTAATTAAGTTAATAATTAATAGAATAAGTACATAATATATTAGATGATTATTTAGTTATTATTTATAAGTTAAATTGCTGCGCCCTAACAGGGTGATGTACTGTACTAGTAGTATAATACCACTATGTATATACATTTTGCAATAAATAAATAAATAAATACTTGCCAACAGTCAAATTCAATACTTTTGTCTGTCACAAGCGTCAATTTTCTATGAATTTTGTACTAGATTGTGTATCAAACAGCATACTGCTGTTTGACATATATAACTTAAAAATTTGCTGGAAAAATACTAAAATTAAGTTGGTCATAAAATCTATTAATGAAAGTGATTATTTTTAATATTTTATTGAATTGAACAGTCAAATAAATAATTTTTTTATCAAGGAAAGTAAGTACCTAATTCCACTCCTTAGCGGTTCTAATATCTACAAAAACTTGAGGCGAAACCTTTCATGCAAGTGGGTAGGATATTCACCATAACGCGGTGGCGTTTTGCCGATTGTCTTGTGGTACGATGATGGAAAACCGAACAGGCCAGGATTTTACTTATCCGTTAGCACTAGTGAAGCCATAATTCCATTGAGCAAAGTAAGTAACGAGATTACCTAAAAAATACAACAAAGGAAAAGTATTTTACCTGATCCACGTAACCAAATAGAACTAAACAAATAAAAAAATGCACCCATAGCATTGTGCAACTGTGAATTTTAAGAGAAATATTTCCCTCTGTGGTTACGACATTTCAACGATCGAACGGCAATCGTTTATAGTAAAAACCATAAAATTTTGAATGTAATTGGCTGTAACTGTATGGAATAGTTTATAGGATGTTATGTGTAGGTAATGCTTAATAAGAGCTGTGGATTTTGTGATCTATATACCTACCTAAATAAAAATGAACTGTTAAATACCCGGTACTTTGTCCGCGTAAAATCTGAATTATAACGCACATAACTTTTTTTTGTTACATTTTTCCAAAATGAAAGTACTAGCCTATGTTACTTCTTAGTACATCAGTTATCTGCCAATTAAAGTCTTGCAAAATCGGTCAAGCCATTCCAGAGATTAGCCAGTACAAACGGACAGACTGACAAAAATTTAAAATTTATTTTAATATTACTTACAAACAGAAACTCCAATTTTATTTATCTGTACAACTTGTTTTTTTTAAACGTTGCCCCACACTATATTTTGAATGTTTGATTTTTCTTTGTAGGTAATTTTATTTTTGTCAATTTATGTTATCCTTGTTTAGGTTCCTGACTTCCACCATTTCATTGTCAGTTAAGTCACTTAAAAACCTTGAGTAGGTAGACCTTAAAATCTCACATTGAGATCTTACATTAATATATGAAGGATAAGGATAAGGAGGCGGTGCGGGCTCAGCGCGCCCTCTGCCGTGATTCACGCGTACTTTTGTCTATTTGTGGTATTGGAGGTAACCGCAGATTCGAATAGCCAGTAGCAGCGCAACAGACGAGACGCCGCGTCGCCGGTCGCGGAATGCTGCTCATGAATAGAAGACACTAGCATAACTTAAAACTAGTTGTATTCCTCGTCAAATATTAAGCGAGTAAGTCGAAAAACATAATACCTCCAATTAATGAACATATATCCATCAGTACCTACACATTTGTACATGCCACTTGTTTATTAGCGCGTGAAATAGTAATACCCACACCTGCCGTAACACATGATGCTGGCAGAATAGTCAACTACTAAATAGTGCAGACTCAATTGCCATAGAAGAAAAAAAAGGTTTCTCTTTCTTTTTTTCTTTATAAAATCCACACTGCCATCAACCACACAGCTTGGATCATGCATGACAGCACACGAAGTATTCAAATTTTTTTTTAAAGTCAAATTGTTGATATCTATGGTATGTACTTTTTAATTCTAGTAACAGACCATGAAACGATATTTTGATAAGAGCCCCTTTTAGATTAGAAACGTATGTGCCATGAATATCTTTGTACTACTGTGTGCTACTTCCTTTTTTACAGTAAGTATAAAGGTTTATTTTATTTTAAGAGACTTCATGCACATACTAGGGTACAAGGTGGGCTTAATGCCATAGACATTCTCATCCAGCCAGACCTTTGGGTGACGCAGAGACAAAAACAATGGTCGATGCAAGAAGCAAGCATATTCGAGACCTATGACCGAGAGAAATACATAATTACATACATTGTATAGACTTAAGTACATAAATAAATCCCTATATATATTTACACATAACAATAAACTTTATGTCCGGACTGACTGACTGATTGGCGGATTGACTAACTGACTGATTGGTTGATTGACTGACTGACTGATTGGCGGATTGACTGACTGACTGATTGGTTGATTGACTGACTAACTGATGATTCTTCGCTAAACGCAAACTATCAATGGTGCATATGGGTACAGACATGAAATTTGGATTGTAAATTCACGTTGTTATGCACCTAAGCAACTTGGCACCAAATGAGAAGGATACTAAAAAAATTCATCCCTAAGGGGTCAAAATAGGAGATGATAGTTTGTATGAAACTCCGTCACTTTGAAAGTAAAATAACCAAATGTCTATATTTCGGATGTTTTTCAGGAATTTTATACATATTTTTTTAGGAATTTTACTTAGAAATTTTACTTAGAAATTTTACTTAATATGGTGTCAAATAAGAGTTGAAAGTTTAAACAAAGCCGCAGGGAACAGCCAGTAGGTAATATTATTTACCACCACATTATAATTTTACCAGTAAAAAAATAGAGGAGCTAGGTACTATGTTCAAATGATGCTTTTTACTGAAACTGTTGTCTTATAAAATTGGAAGCGAAATTATAGACAATTTTACCACTTGACCAGAAAGGCATTTAATAAACTGGATAAAAATTGACATCTATTCTAGTCTCCTTAAGGACCAAATCTCAAAAACAGTATATTTTCCATTGTTTGAAAACAGTAACTATGTAAGTAGGTGACGTTACACAAACTACAGGCAGATATTCAGGCAGACTTCTGAATAACTGCATTCGATTCGTGTTCAATCTTCGTAAATATGATCATGTTTCTGCACAGCGCTTGCAATTAAAGTGGTTACCCATACGCCAACGTAGGGAGCAAAGGGCTTTAACTACTTTATTCTCTCTTCTTGAATCCCCTTTTTCTCCTAACTATCTATCCACCTATTTTCAATACACCAGTGCAAACCACAGTAAATATCTTCGTTCTTCCAACAATCGCCATCTACAGTGTGTCAGTCATCGCACTGATTTCCTTCATTCTTCTTTCTTCATACAATCTGTTATTCTGTGGAATGCACTACCCACGGATATCAGGACGGCGTCCAGTCGCTTAGCTTTTAAGATTAAAGTTCGGGAGCATCTTCTTCAACAATTGATAGATTCATCTCAAACCTAAACCTCTTTTAATTTAATATTTTGTATTATATTTTATAATGTACATATATATTTCTATATATATCTTCATTATTTTTTATTTATATATTTACTTTAATATTGTATACATAATTATTGTTATATGTAAGTATGTATAAGTTTTCAAATATACCTATATGTTTAGTGTTTATTGAATATTCTGATTGTGAGATTTGTTATTTATTACACTGGTACATTGCCTATTTATAAAGGTTTAAATCACCTGCTACTTTCATCTCTGCACTGCTTAAAGGTTGACTGGGAGACAATGCCCAAGGCATTAAGTCCACCTGTACACACTTGTTGTATAAAGTTGAAATAAAAATAAAAAAAAAATAATATTCCAAATCTTGACTAAAATCTAATAAATAATTCAAGAGAAATGAAACCTAATGCTAAAGAATATAAGTGCGAGACTTGCGAACAGACGTTGTATTTGACTCCTGTAGAAATTTTGAAGCATAAAAATTTTGTAAGGCAAAATAAATAATTATTTATTTTTAGCTCAGCAATCAACAGAAGTTCACCACAAATGCATCTCACGAAGTCGACATCCTGGGTGCATTACAACAGATGTCCAAAGACACTGGCATAGTCTTACTCACCCGAAGCGATCCATTCATATCTAATGCATCAATACTTCTGACAGATGACGAGAGTGGCTACGAACAGCTAAAAGCAGACACCGATGATGATTTCGCAGAGGTAGAAGAGAATACGGATCCAATAGATAAAGATCCAAAAATAAAGAATATACTTAGGTGGCTGCCTACAAGAAAGCCCTATAAAGAAAATTATTATGAGAAAAAAGAGGCACAGGTGGCACTCGAGAAAGAACAAAGAAATACGCTCCGAGCTCGGCAACTCAACGAAGAAAGAATAGCTTACGTGATGGACCTTCTAAAAGACAATTTTTGGATGGCTATATATATGTATGGGGAAGTACGAAGAATTCTCACGAAACGCATAGTTGTCGACGATATAAGACAAATGATTATGTTTTTAGAACAAGAAGGGAATGAGGAAATGAAAGAGAAAGTACTAAAATGTTATAGAAAGGCGAGGTACGTTTTTCACGATAACAGCTGGGACAAGAAAGCTAACAATTTGCTCGTTCAAGTTCTTAAGGATCCGCTTAATGATAACGTTGTTGCGTAGTTAAAATATATCTTCAAAGAAATATAAATAAAAGTGTTTTAATTTCTTTTATTCCCTCGAGATATAGGTACCTTTAGGTCACAGAAATATTAGATTGAGTAATAGTTTGTTTTGTCCAATCACTGCTTCTGTCAAATATTCAACGTCCAACGGTGTCACACCAGCTGATTCCCTATTGGATGAAAAACGAGAGGTTCACAGTAGCGCCACTTGGTGGTCAAAAATATAGTAGCCCCTGTAATGATATGGCATGGCCCATGTAATGACATGGCAACTGCATGAAATCTATATCTATACCTACTAATATTATAAAGAGGAAGGATTTGTACCTATTTTTGTATGTTTGTAATGAATAGGCTCAAAAAATACAGGGCCGATTTAAAAAATTCTTTCACCAATATAATGCTACATTCTTCCAATTTGACATAGGCTACATTTCATTTTGAAAAAAATTAGGGATCCTTGGTAAAATTTGAACAATATAACCGAAGGTGTAGAAAAATGAGTCTTAAATTGTCTTTCGTCGAATGCGCTGCCGAAACTATGAGCGATAGAACAAAATAATGTACAACAATATTGAAGAACATCATAATGTCTACAAAAAACTCCACGGTAGCATATGTCCAACTATTGTAGTTATGTCATGTCACTACAATAGGTAATCCAAATTTCTAAAAATAAATAATTGTCTACCCCGTGCGTTGCCGGGACGGGCTGCTAGTATTTGATATTTTGCTTTGTCGAATGACAAACCTATGTGGATACTGTATTATATGCATGTACTATAACTCTCTCGATAGACAAGCGCTAAAGTGGCGTTTGGCTAAAGGCACAGTACAGCTGCTGTGCAGTAGAAAACTAAATGTATGGGAATGACACTGACAATTGTCAAAATTTACGTCAATTCCATATAATTTGGTTTTTACTCTACAAGTAGACAAGCGCCAAATGCCATTTGGCTACAGCTGCAGTATTTAGCAATAATTTTTATTTTAAATGCAATTGGATTTAAGGAATGTAGCTTAATTATTTATTTTTGTGTCTAACCATTCAACGTTGCTAACATCCGTGCGTCACTGCATGGGTGCCCACTGAAAATCAGTGCTGGGTGACTTGTATACCTGGCTTACACTGAGTGGGTGACCCTTTTAGCATAGGCATGTTGTCAGCGTCTCTCTTCTAATTCTTCTGTTTTAATTTTTCAATTCAATGTTTTTATTACTTCCACTGTCACACCTTTATTGTCTTTTTATATTTTATTTATGCTGCATCGTGCCTGGTGCTGAATAAATGTTTTTTCTTTCTTTCTTTCTAATTTTTATATGTTTTTTGTACTATTTGTGTTATTAGTTTTAAGCTTTAATTCAAATACAATGTAAATTGATTTAGAAATAAATAAAAACATATATGATTTTTAACAGACTTATAAAAGGAGATTCACCGTTGCATCTGTAGGTACCTACTTATGTTTATGCTCGAAAAGTACTTGTTAGTTACATTTAGATAATGGTTTTAGTGTATTAAGCCTTTGACTGCCAATAGAAAACTGATGTAGGCAAATCCTCCACTAACGTCGGTCACCGGTAACCCCCGCGGCGTTTAACTCGTCGAGTACCGGTTTTGTAGACACAATTATAGAACAATAGGTTGCGGTCACCGGTGACCGCTTGGTGTTTGACAGTTTATGTGTTAATATAGTAAACCTATTTCCAAAGAAAGACGTTGCTGAATTCGAATTTTTCAAACGTTGTTTATTTTATACATTTTTGTTTGTTTGTTTAATTTTTCACATTATTTTGTCCACCTATGCAGACAAATTCATCCCAAACTGATACTAGAATATAATATTTCCTTAGTATTTTAATCAATTCTACAGAAAGTCGTTACAAAACGTATTTAATCAAGTTTACCCAATATAAAAATATGCATGAATAACATTTATTACCCGTTCTCTGATTTGATGATGCCGCCATTGTTAGTTAGAATTTGTGTAAGTTTCTTTTTTATTTTGATTTAATAAGCAAATCTGTCCTCTATGGGTATCTATTCAGCTTTTAAAATAAAAACACGATTCTTTAACACTAAATACCTACCTGTACAGATTTGGTTTTCTTAGATAAATCTTGGTGTCTCGACAATAACCACTGTTCAGTTTAGATACTATGAGCACGGTAATAATTATGATAATATTACCGTGCTATGAGTGTGGTGTTACTTACGAAATTATCAGGAACATTAACTTAGGTAGGTATATTTGTTAATTTATACTAATTTTATTTTTAGCTTTCATCAATCACAATAGTTGCTTATTTCGTGGTTGATGCAACAGATTTACAAGATTTTGTAGACGCAATAATCAATACGAATGGGGGACATAGCGGCACAAACTCAAGTCAACAACAAACAAACAATACTCTAGCTATCGTGGTACCTGATTCAGGTTACGATTTAAAAACAAATGAAGATAGACATAAAGACCATACACGACTTTATTCCAACTACACAGACATAGACGATTATTTAAAGTTACAAAATGAAAGTGGAAGTTTTAAATCCACTAATAATCGAAGAATGATTGTTTCATCCGTTGAAATTACAACACCTATAAATTCAAACGATTCCAGCAGCAAAAAACGGGTAAGAAAGGTAAGAACATATGCGCCTAAACCACACGATAACTCTAACCACGAAAGGAGGATACAAGAAATTAAAGAACATATGGAACACCATTTCACTTCTACTCTATATTTGTATAACGAAGCAAAAAGAATCGAGAGAACCCATGTCGTGATGGATGAATTAAGGTTGATGGCTGAAGATGCTGACAATCCAAAATATGAATTTCTAAGGGAAAAAGTTTTGGAGTGCGGCCGTCAACCCAAAGTCAAGATACCCAAAAACATTTGGAAGAAACCTAATAATGTCGTAATCAATATCCAGAAGGACCCGTTAAATGACAACGTTCCCAGTTAAATATTATGTTTTATTATGTAAGCATTTTGCATGTGAACTTTTCGATTAAAGTCTTTGATTTCTATTCTAGTAATTAGGTATGATGTTTTTTTTTCTGTATCTGCCATAACGTAGATTATATTCGCATATATTTTATCATCATACTATCAGATATTGAGCTGTAAATCGAAAAAAACACGTCAGTCACGGGCTGCCTTTTTCCTTATTGATGAGCCAACGTTTGATTACTATCTCGCCTGGTGATAAGCGATGATCCAGTCTACCCATGAGCAACTTACTTGGGCCTTAAAAACACCCAGTTTATATCCTTCAGGAAATACAAATTCTGGCAAAAAGTTCCACTTCTTAGCAGCACGCCCAAGGAAGCTTGATGCGAAGCGCTTCGTGCGTGTGAGTAGGACATCTACCATGAATTGCCTTGGATCATTAAATCTTAATCTATTTGGTTACAGTTACAGATGTGTAACCAAGTTGACACCAGCTAGGCTATATTGTAAATTTCAATTCGAAAGATCGAAGTGCACTCGATCGCGTTCTGCCATGTCATTTTCAGGTTTTGAAAATAATCTCAACGAGCGAGAATGCGATCGAGTTCACTTTCAAAGTTCAAATTGACAGTTACAGAATAGCCTAGCAGGTGAAAGCCGTTCATAGGCACCTACAATTTGTTGAATATGCGCCTTACTATCATGATGGCGTCCAAGTAAAAAGAAGTCTTAGTAAATTTCATTTTTTTATAAATTTCGTTTACAATTGCTCCACATCCTCTTCCATATTGAGGCAATAAAGGAAATGAATTCAATGAAGTTTTTTATTAATTATATAAAGCAGTCGCGGTGACATTTTCTTCATTCGAGACACCACTTTGTGGAATTCCGTTCCTGGTTTTATTTTCACTTTTATTGATCCCTGCACAAAGAAAATGAAATGGTTTGTTAATTTGGCACCTCTTTAAAGTACACGTCGTTGGTCAAGTCATTATAAAACTGAGTTGTCTCGGCTCGTCTAGCACCAAGTCTGGAGCTATGCCTAGTGTATGCATAAATGCTGAACTAAACATGTACTTACTACATTTCAGCTCAACCAGTTGAAGATTTAAAAATGCAATTGCCAGATTCTACGTCTCAAACATACACACATACATACATACATTTTTAAGGGGTTAAATTATTAAATAACTTCTCCCACTGGATGAGGCGGTAGGAAGCGTCAGACTCTTACTGACTAAAAACCACCCCGTTCCTACTCCTGCACTTCGAGCCGGGGCCCCAGCAACAAACTAAGTCCTCCGCGGCGCAAGTTAAATAATTGCTTGTAATAAGAGGAATGTCTGAATCAAATAATCTGCTGAACTTCTATATTTAACCCAGTAATTGGTCTATTGTCGTAATCTTAGGTTAGAGATTAAGAGATTAAAGTTTAAATTGCACAGTTGTTCAGGAAGCGTTGCTACCCGGTCGTTGCCTTCGTCAGCCTGTATCGCCCAGTCAGTTAGTCGGCGCTAAGATACAAGTAGGAAGACTAAACATAGTGACCAATGTAGCTGTTGTACTGTGCCGCCATCACCTAGTACCAACTTAAAACTAAAAAAGTGTGGGACTTTTTGTAATGGCTATGAGTCCTGCGGCAATAGCAACCTTCTAAGGCCTAAAGACTTTTTTATTAGATTGCAAGACATTGGGTGTTTTTCTCGCCTCAAAAAGTCTTTGAGCATTAAGAAGCTACTGCCGCAACATTAATAGCCCTGCAAATTAACGCAAAATAAATCTTACCAATACTTTCTTCTCAGGAGCTGACCGCAAAGGAGTTTTGACATTAACTTCTTCTTTCCAAACAGAATTCCAATAATCCTTTAAAAATGTAATTTAGTTATCATTACTATCATGGTTATCATTTCATATACCTAGACACAGTCAGCCAAAATATCTAGTACTTATGCAAGTAAGACAACAAAGATTGACTCGGTATAGAGATAGTAGAATTATATTATGATTTCAATTGTGTAAACGATGTTTTAAGAAATTCAGAAATTAATTTCAATACCGAAAGGGGGCAGATTTCATCAAACGTAGATGTAGCCCAGGAGTTTGAATATTTTTTTACCAACATTCCTATCAAAACAACTGAACAGAAAAAGTCATCAGCAAACCTCTCTGTAACTTTTAACTCTCTTAAGAACAATATAGAATTATGTTAACACGACTTTAGTTTTCGATATACGAATCCTCTAGAAATTATAAAAGTTTTTAAAGAAATCAAGACCAAATCAATTGGAGATCTTTGGGGACTATCAGTAAAAGTTTGCAAGTCATTCATTCAAACTGTAGCGCCGTATCTGGCTGTGATTTTCAATAAAAGTATGGATGACGGTGTTTTCCCTGACCTAATGAAATATAGTAAAGTTATACCACTATTTAAAAGTGGTGACACTAAAGTCATTAAATCCCGTACTAATTACCGTTCCGACATATATGGAAATATAACGTATGTAAGGAAAAATAGGCAATTGTTTAAAAAAGAGATAGACAACGATACACAGTTTTAATACTAGAGACAAAAATAAGTTAGCTATACCGCAATTCAGACCGTCCAAGGTACAGATAAAATACCAAGTGGCCTACTAGATCTCAATGAAAAGCATATATTAAGCGCGAATTATGTTTTAATCAAGCTTACTACAAACTGACAGATAATCTTGAAGATAAGAATGCTTGGCAGCATGTTGGTTCGGCTCTACTGGACAATAACCAAATGTAGTCAGTAGTTAGATACTCAGATTACAATAGTAGGTAATTTATTACTTTCATTCTAATGTAGACAATCTAATTTCCTTATGACATCGAGTATTTCTTTCTTTATTGAAATAAAGAGTTTCCTTTTTCTTGTATCTATAGAAACACTATTTTTATGGATTGTCAGTATGCATATGTGAGCACCATGTAAGACTACTTATACGATGTTTTTTCTTTTGTTTTGTTATTTTAGTAAGTTTGGTGCGTTGTCAAGCGTGTCTTTACATTGTTCTCACCTAAACTTTCAGTATTGGAATATGTAACAGAGACATTCTAGAATATACTTTTTTTTTGAAAGAGTGCCGAATGGAGTTTTTTGCTCGTTCTTTTTATTCCAATCTAAATTTTGGAATGAGTACCTATCTTCACTGACCAAGTGATTGACAGACTATTATTTAAGTAATTGTTGACGTTTCAAAAGTGCCAATTTTGCTTCCATGTTTTGCACTTACGTAAGGACACCGCGATTGTATAAATTTCAAAATTATAAGCCCAGGTTTCCTCAAGATGCTTTCCTTCACTGTTTGTCAGTGGTGTCTGAATAATCTTAGAAAGTACATATAACTCGGAAAAAGTCACATTCGTACTTGCCGTTGGTAGGTTTCGAACCCGCAACCTCATGCATGAGAAGCGGGGCGTCTTAAACCTCCGGCCCACCACGACATACCGAACCATTTTAAAGTAAGTACCTAAATATTGTATTGTTGTGTTGTATTAGATAGGGACGCACTTACCCCTGATCTTAATATTTTCTTCTGATCAATATCTCCTAAGTCATTTTCTTTGTCCGGTCCCAACAATGCAGATTCCTTTGCCACCACCAACACCAGTTCAGGAGGCGCCTATCAAATATTAAGTAGGTAGATATTATAAATTGACATAGTTTACCCCACGTCTGCCTTACCCTACATTACAAAATGGCGACGGCAAATTTTTCTTTTACCCGACTTCGGTAACAATGGTCGATCGCATTCGAGACGCATTCTAGAGGTATTAAATAAGAATATTAAGATCTTATGTAGGTAGGTACACTAAGCCCCCAAATAAACTGTAAGCTCATTTCGAAAGTTTGAGCGGACAGTTACAGAACAGTGGTTTAACTTTAAATTATATGAATAAGGAAAGGCTAGGAAAAATGTAAAAATAATGTAAAAAAATAATTATTTGTTACCTTCTCTGGTATAAGATCACCACTGTGTTCAGCGGCCGTCTCCTTGTTTACCTAATAGATAAACATTGCACTTTGTATCGAATATAATAAGGCTGTTGTGTAACTCTCGATTCGAAATATCGAAGTGCACTCGATCGCGATCCGCCATTTCATAGGTTGTGAGTTGGATTTGAGAATAATCTTGACCAATGACGGGCGACAATGTGATCGAGTTCACTTTCAAAGTTCGAATTGACAGTTATAGAATAGCCTAGCAGGTGAAAGCCCTTCATAGACACCTACAATTTGTTGAATGTGCGCCTTACTATCATGATGGCGTCCTAGTAAAAAGAAGTCTTGGTAAATTTCATTTTTTTATAAAATTCGATTACAATTGTCCCACATCCTCTTCCATATTGAGGCTATAAAGGAAATGAATTCAATGAAGTTTTTTATTAATTGTATAGTTTTTTTAAGTATGGGAGAGCCATGCTTCGGCACGATGGGCCGGCTCGACCGAAGCGATAACACGGCCTCACAGAAAACCGACGTGAAGCAACGCTTGCGTTGTGTTTCGTCGTGTGAGTGAGGTTACTGGAGGCCCAATTACCCTTCCCTTCCCAAATGGCTGGTAACGCACTTGTAACGCCTCTGGTGTTCCAGGTGTCCATGGGCGACGCCGATTGCTTTCCATCAGGTGATCCGTCTGTTTGTTTACCGGCTTATGCCATAAAAAAAATATATATATTTAAAGCAGTCGCGGTGACATTCTCTTCATTCGAGACACCACCTTGTGAAATTCCGTTCCTGGTTTTATTTTCGCTTTTATTGATCCCTGCACAAATAAAATTACAACGGTTTGTTAATTTGGCACTTCTTTAAGTCACCGCCGTTGGTCAAGTCATTGTAAAATGAGTAGTTTTAGATTTTTCTACTACCAGTACTAGCACGGAGTCTGGTGCTATGATAGTGACAAACGTAGCTGTTGTACCATAGAAATATTAAAAAAGTTTAATGTATTGTTCGGTCCCGTCATCACATAGTCATCATCATCATCATCATCATGTCAGCCACAGGACGTCCACTGCTGAACATAGGCCTCCCCCAATGACTTCCATCATATAGTAC